GATCCCAATTTCGTCGGTCATCCGACGTGACGTCGAGAATGACCGACTGAAAGGGAACGTCTTGGTTACGTATGGTAACTCTCGTTCCCTGAAGGAGGGAAAGGAGACGTCACGTCCCGTCGCCACAGCTCCTGTACCACCGCTGAGTGGCCAGGTCACCGGCTCGGCTCCTCAGCGAAAACTTGAATATGCGCTGCATCTGCTGCCTACTTATACTCACGCTGTGATCAGCAGCAGCTGGATGCAATAATCGCATGCCAATGTGGATTGGCTCGTTTAGTTTACACTCGAAGGGGATTGGTCTCTCTAAGCGAGATCCCAATTTCGTCGGTCATCCGACGTGACGTCTCCGTTCCCTCCTTCAAGGAACGAGAGTTACCATACGTAACCGAGACGTTACGCTGCTTAATTTTGGTGGATTTATTTATTTATTTTCACTTTTGAATTGAATGCACCTTTTCTTGATTAAAAGTAAGTAAATATGTATGTATGCATGTATTTATTTTTTTCACCCCAAACTTTTGAACGATATTGTACATAATCGAAATAAATAATAGAAATAATTAAAATGCTTTCAAATTGTGACCTTCACAAATTGTCTGAACATCTTGACAGACAAACGGATAGATAGGACAGTTTTTGTTTCTTCCCATCAATGCAAAAAAAACAAAAAAAAAACAGACACACTGTAATTTGGAACAATTTCCGTATAGCGAGACGTGTTTAAAATATCCCCAATACCTGCAGTGAGAGAAGAATAACATGCTCTAACTGTAAATATTACTCTGTAGGAGTGGAATGCATTCATTCTGGGTTGGCACTGGGCTGGCATGAGCTGGCAGTGACGTTATATTTGGTTTTGGAGTCAAGTGGCATTGAATAGCAGTGTTATGATGGCGACAGTGATGCAGTAGAGACAGCACACAAACACGGCTGTCAACAAAAGAGTGGGAGGCAAATGATTTGGCAGCTCTGAGCAATACTGTGGTCAAAATAACGGGTATAATAAATAAATAAAAGTACTATAGAAGAATTGTGCATGATCCAAAAATATATTACGACAAAAAATGGTTACAAGATTGTTCCCCTCAGCTGAACTTGAGATCTCTATAAAAAAAATTAAAAAAAAATATATATATATATATATATATTCTTGCTTGCCAGACTTAAGTTCTGTCAAGGATCTAAAGATGATGTGGCATCAAAAATCATAGAAACGCGACAGTGATGCAGTAGAGACCGCACACAAACACGGCTGTCAACAAAAGAGTGGGAGGCAAATGATTTGGCAGCTCTGAGCAATACTGTGGTCAAAATAACGGGTATAATAAATAAATAAAGTACTATAGAAGAATTGTGCATGATCCAAAAATATATTACGACAAAAAATGGTTACAAGATTGTTCCCCTCAGCTGAACTTGAGATCTCTATAAAAAAAATTAAAAAAAAATATATATATATATATATATATTCTTGCTTGCCAGACTTAAGTTCTGTCAAGGATCTAAAGATGATGTGGCATCAAAAATCATAGAAACAAGCATCAGCCAATAAAACTAAATTAATCTATTTAATTCCAAATCCAATAAAATAAAATCTGACTGTGACATGCGCCGAAAATTTAGCATAAAACCAAGCTGTCAAAATCAACATCTGCAGGGTAATTCTACAAAACGAGTCCCATTTGTGTCTTACTATGAAGTACATATGTAAAAATGATTTTTAACAATGATTAACTGATGTCAGCTTTCACAGTGTCAACAGACATTTTGATAAACTTATCAACAAAAATACAATAACTTTATTTTACTTTTTATGTATTTTTATCTAAAACAGCTGTTTCCAACTTAATGCTATATTAGCAAACATGCAAATGTAAGAAATATAAGAAAATATAAGGAAATAAAAGCTATAATATAATATAATAAAAAAATCTTCAAGGTTTTTATCTTTTCATTTGAAAATCATACATTTTCAGCCGTTCAACGCTTTTGCAGTTGTTGGATATTTGTATGCATTTTCAGATTATATTCTCTTTCTAAATGTCCTTTCACCTTTCTGAAGATAACTCAACATTTTAAAATGTGTTAGCATGAGATGGCACAATGCAAATAACACTTACATTATTACATTATTGCATTATTTATCTCCTAAAATGTCTAAAATCTCAAATTGACTTCAAAATCACTTTGTCTGAAAAAGCACCCGTTTCGTAGCATGACCCTACTGTCATGTCAAAAGTGACCTCTGAAAGTTAAAGCATTTCAATATTTCACGATTCCCCTCAGGACTGCTGGGTTTTCAAGCCAAGGCCGCGAGAAGACGCCTGAACAATGTTTGCACAGCCATGTCTCTTTCAGGTCCCATAGCGCACACCAGGAAGAGGGGCAGACAATGTTTGGCGACTGTCTGGGCGGAGGCTATGTTAAGGCCGTGAGCTGGACAAAGCTGAGCTACTAAGTCAATGTTTTCAATGACGGTATTTAACAGTCAACAGTATAGAGCCGACGATTAGACCACAATGCGACCCTGGAGAGCAAGTGAAAGAAGCACAGCCAGAATATCTGACCCCAACAGACCGCATAACGTGAGATCTGGGGTGCTCTGGAGGTGAATATTTGAGTGGGTTGGTGATTAACAGGCTTTTGGAATATGCGGTTGCTCAATCAAGATCAGTCACGGCTGGACTCAGAGGTACACAGGGAGTCTTGTTTTCTATAAAGAGAGAAAAAATGGCTTTTCGGTGTTAAAGTTGAACTCTGATCGTTTGCAACATCATGTTCGTTGGACTAAAAGAACTGCAGTTGATAATAACCGAAAAAAAAGAGTAAAGTCAAGTGAATTCCAGAAGATTTGTAATCAGACACTGTACTGGTGTGTTAGAGTAAAAACGCCTATGCCGTTAGTTATATTTTGAGCCACATAATGCAGGCACAAAATGACACATTTAAAGGAATAGTTCATCTAAAATGTATCATTTTATTTCAGTAGAGCACAAAAGGTGATATTTTGTCCTTAAACAAAAGAGAGATGCATGAATATAGAAATTCAGGATGATATTTTTGACTAAAACTAAAACTGTTAAAAATAATTTTTATTAATTAAAAAAAGCTCAAATAAAATATTTGGTGAATTCAGGTAAACTTTTTTGCCATTGGGAGAACTGGGAGAAAATGGTCCAACTGTCCTGAATTAACCCCAACATTTTAGAAGGAAAACTTAAATGAAAGCTGGAAATGTTGCCTTGGCAGCTAACTGAAATAAAAATTAATTAAACCTGAAGTACTGAAATTACTAAAAATGGAAATAAATAATTTATTAAGACTAATAAATAAATAAATACATTTTGAATTAAACAAATTACAAATGAACTACTTTCATTTACTAAAACTTAAATAAAAAAACAGACAATAAAAAAATGGAAAATATACAATATATAATAAATATAAATGTATATATATATATAAATAATAGTATACAAATAACACTAAATTATATAAACACCAATACTTATACTCTATAATGGCCAATATTACAAATGTATACTACTTAATATATTGGCAGTTACAATAAAACATTTTACAAACAATGGCTGATTCCAGTAACTTAAACATTAAAAGTTCAAGGGTCATGGATTCAATTCCAAGTGTAAGTCTCTTTGGATAAAAACATCTGCTAAATGCATAAATGCAAATGTACATATAAACCGAAAAAATGTCAGCACAGTATGTTGTGCATCCCTATTCATTAATAATCATTTTGTACTCTATTTAGTTTGGGAGTGACATGTTGAGTAAGCAAACTATGACAGAATTTACGTTTTCAATTAACTATTTTTTTAACTTGCCATTTAAATGATTTTAAAGAAGCTGATGACATAAAAGCCCACAAATTGTAACCTAAGAAAAAGAAAGGAAGATAAACTGCAACACTGTATGGCACCTCAACCCCTTCATCTACATCTGGTTGTCTTTACCTGTCGCTGTTCTGAAGCGGAGCTCCATCTTTGCTCCAGGAGAGGTTTGGAGGTGGCAATCCCTGAGTGGGACACATCAGCGTGAGGCTGTGGGTAGCATTGGTTAGGTAAGTGGTCCTGCCCACATGGATCCGGAGATCCCTCTGGAAGCTCATGGCAGATCCGTGATGCTTTTGTCGAACGATAACCGCTCGACTGCCTTTTTTCGGCGTCTTTCCCTCAGAATGTTCAGAAGTGTTTGGCGTCTTATCTAAATGATTGCCCATCGTAGTGCTTTCCTCAGTTTGTGCCCCTTGCCCCGCGGCAGCCAAATCCTCCATAAGTTTCCCAATCAGGTGCAACGCCATTTCATCCGTCACATCTCCGCTCTCGGCCAGCTGACTGATGTTCTTCACGAGCTCCTCGAACTGTGCAGGATCAAGGACAAAGGCTCCCGCGTGGCTCCTGGCGGCTGAAGCCAAAGCATAGTTTCCTAAAGCAAGAGTATCCCAGAGTTCCTTAGGCTGGCCATCGTCGTCTCGGTAGAACTCGTTTTTTTGCATCCAGCTTGGGGGAGATTTTGGAGCCTTCTTTCCAGGTGGAAACCCCTCATGGCACTTTGAACCAACGTAACCTCCTTCTTTATTGAGGTATGGATGAAAGCTCCTACTTCCCAAACTCTTTCCTTCAGGATGTTCCAGGAGCCTACTATTGTATCCGATCAGCTTCAGGATGAAGATGTCCGAATCTTGGTTGGCCCAGCAGCGGTACAGTCCGATATCTTCAGCCTCCAGGTTGTAGATCCTCAAAGCGCCAGATCTGGTGATGCTCAGACGTTTGGAGCTGGTCAGATCACTCCCATCCTTCTCCCAACGGACCTGAGCTTTAGGGAAATGCCGAACGGGACACTTGATAACGACGGAGGTCTTGGGAAGAAGGTAGGCTCGTCCTCCGATGGTAAAACTGAGGCGTTTTTCTTGTCTGGTCTGGATATAGATGCGTTTCAGGCCCATGACCTGAGGGCAACGTTTTTTGGAGTGCTTGTGCTCTGCGGAGAGAGATGGGAGAAGCTGAAACGGTTCAAACATCGGTTAGGGCTAATTACTTTAGTTTTGCGTGAGGTTATGAACGCTCTAGAAACCCCCAAATAATCTCAGCAGTTCAGACTCTTGATTTCGAGCCCAATGAAGTCAAATCACACTGGACAAAAGGGCTTTGGAAAGTTTAGGTGAAAGAGCAAAAACCATGAGGGCACAACGTTAATGCGTTCTCCGCTTGCAGACTGATCTGCTATGGGACCGTCCCTTCATACCGCAGGACCTTATCAAGATATACAAACTGATAAACCTAATTCAGCTCGAAACATTATCAAGGCATCTCAAGAAAGCATGAAAGCATCACAAAGCGGTTCTGGAAATTTCATATGTTCACATATATGACCACAGAGAGTTCATTGGTTCATGGGTATCATGACAATAATAATAACATGCTAAGTGATACCTACAGAACCCTGCTTTTTATTTGAGAAACTTGAGATGAAACCCAAGTAGGATTGTGCTGTTACTACAGCTCAAAACATCAGGGAGTCCCGAAATCCTTTTATGAAATTTTCCTTGTGCTGCTATCAGAATGTATGGAGACCATAGTGAGGGCAAGATCAAATAGAGGTCAGTTCTAAGTTAAATTACAACCATAATTTACACGAAATGTGCAAGAAATCGAACGCTTCACACTGAAAGATTCAGGCTTAAACTTACGTGGCAAGTAAAGGACGGCTAGAAAAAAAATGGAAAGGCAAGCATAGAGTATCTTACTGTTGCACGGGCTCATACGGCAGCTCCTGATCAGAGGAGGAAGAGGAAGGTCACTGCAGGCCGACCTGTCCAGAGTGACCAGCTGACCGGAGGCCGTCTGTCTCCTACAAACGGGTTCCCTCCGCTGAATGCCTTTTCCACATGTCACAGAACACTGCAAACACATATGGAGAAATACATACATTAAATGAACTCTATTAAAGAAAATAGTTGGAAAATGGAAAATATAAAGGCCCATTTACACCAATGGCCATAACTACAATGATAACTATATTTGTGTTCACACCAGTGCACAATAAGTTTCTGTTTATTATAAGCGTGTGCTGCAGTTTTATCATCTGCCACTTTAAATGCTTGAGCTCGTTAAAATTTGGTTGATTCTGATTGGCTGTTAATGTTTTTATCATTCATCAGCTGGAGAAAATCATTCTGAAAGTGACTGAACAAGCCTTAACATCTTCAAAATTTTTGAATAGGCCTACCTAAAACCTACTTTTGTGTTTCTTGTGAGAAAGAAACAGAAAGATCTGGTTGGAACAATATTAACTTTAGAAATAATTTACCTTTCTACCTAAATTTTTGAGTGACGAGGTACAATAAAAAAATATATATATGTTTTTGAAAGAAGTCTCATATGCTCACCAAAGTTGGAATTATTTGATTAAAAACAAGTTAATAAATAAATAAAAGCTAGTTATGAAATATTATTGCAATTTAAAATATATGTTGTAAAATTTAATTTATTCCTGCAAATTATTTCAATATTTATTCCAGCAGAATTTTCAGCGTCATTGCTCCAATCTTCAGTCTTTTAATGCATCCTTGTTCAACAGAAGTATTCATTTCATACATACACTGTAAAATCCAATAGTTTACCTTACTTAGATTTAGTTAGTTATCTTTACTTAGTTGTTATACTTACTAGGTTGTATTAAGTTACAGCTACTTTCAAGGCAAATAAAACAATTTACTTACTGTTTTGAGTGACACTTACTTAAAATATTCAAGTAGCCACAAAGGAACCAATGACATTAATAAACCAATGAGAGGCAGCAGTGCACTAATATGTTGCTAATGTGCAACATAACAACAGCAGAAGAAGAAAAGAAAACGAGTCTTAATAGACTTTTCACTCATTTCCTCCATGTCTGCAGTTATCTTTCACTAGTTGCATTCACTCGTTTCCCAAAGTCATCTTGAATGTTGAATTCTCAATACAACTGAAATATTTGAAAGAACATCACATAAGCTAACTTCATAAATTGATGTTGATTTTCCTAAAATGTGTTTTTTTAACTCCCCATTATAGTGATTAGCAGTCCCTTTGGTTGGGCACTTTGAACTTGGTTGACATTGCTATAATTTACTGCCTGTTAATACAGTAATGCATCAAGAACTCAGAGTTATAGGATTTCAAAGGAAGAAAAGTAATAAATAGATTGCTTTTAGAA